TAAATTCTGTAAAATCTGTGGTAATGTCTCCTAGATCTTGATATTGTAATTTTAAAAATGTATAATTGATATTGTGTAATAGGAAGTAAAGGTCTAAAGGAGCAGGGGAAGTGGGAGGGGTAGGGGAAAGGAAAAAAGGGAAAAGAAAAAATATAAGAAGAGGAAAAAAATGGAAACAAAATCTTTGCAAATAGGGAAGGGTGGAGGGGGTGAAGGGAGGGCTGGGGAAGGTGACAAAAATAAGAACCAAATTGTAAGGCATCTATCAATGCTGTTCTGTGACTAACAAGGCACTGTCATAGTCCTATTATGTTGACACTGATCCAAAAGAGTATAAGATCTCAACAAGAACTACTAAAAGCCACTGCCAAACCTGCAGGCTAATGGCAAAAGATACATTTCCTTCCTTGGCAAGGCCCTCTAATAACTACTTCACCCCGTGCTCAGAACCTCAGAAGGTAGCTTCAAAAAACTGGTCTACAATGCCTAGAAGGTAATCCAGAAAATAAGTCAAAAATTACCAAAACTTCTTAAACAGCTACCTAAAAAATGTTATAAAAACTCCACTGTTTCTGTAATGAATTTTCTATGCGTTTTTTGTTCTTCAAATGCTATTTTTCATGATGCTAAACATTGCTAAAATCTGATTGCTAAAATCAGAAAACAGTTTTTTCATTTTCATACACACTAGATAATCAAACTTTTCCCTATTCCTTCCCCCTTCGGCTTTCTCCAAAGGAGTGACATTCAAAGGTTACAAAAGTTCCTGCTGCCTTCTAGTGGCCTTACCCTGGAAGTGATGGTCACGTTAAGAAATTTTTAAACTTTACAGACAGTAATGAAATGGCACACTCCTTTAGAGTTTTTGGTGCTGGCGGGCTGTAAGGGAGAGAAAAGTGTATATGATTGCTGAGAAGCTGGTTAGTTTCACAAGGCCCTCAGTAACCTCGTCTGTAAAGGGAAGGTTAAAATGTCTCTTCAGGGTCATCTGGTAAATTGAGAAAATATAAAAAAGGATGCTGAAACAGTAAAAGAAAATCACTACCTTATTTAATTTCTCCAACCCTATAAGGTTTAGGAAACTGCAGCTCAACACAAATTACTCATTTTTAAGTTAATTCACCCAGTATTATAAATAGAACAAGACCCATAATCCAGATATTCAGACCATGATACTTATATCCCAAAGTAACAGCTGATAGTGAGAGATATTAATAATTTTTAGTCTTAAAAGGCTAATGCACTGCTGTTGGTCTTTATTAAATCCACAAGTATGCATTCCATTGGTCCATGATCACACCTTTAGAACTGTGTCTTAAAAATTATGGGAAACACACAAAGATTTATGTTCAAAACATATTCACATATTGTTAAGTATTATAGTATGAAGGTGCAAACAAGCTAAGTATAAGATGGTTATTAAATAAACTTGGGCAGAAGTAATGTGAATCGTTTTCATTTATCAAACAATCTCTAGGTTCCAGTTGCTGTTCTAAAGGTTAGAAGCACATCACCACTTCAATGAGGTAAGTACAGTCTCTGATGTCATTTAACACATGAGGAAACTGAAGAACAGAGATGTTAAGTAGCTTACCCTAGGTCAATTATTAAGGAAGTGGAAGAGCCAGGGATTGAGCCAAAATAGCTTTCTTAAGAGTCCATGTTCCCATCACTAATCAATCTACTTCTTAGAGAGTACAGTCCATGATACTCTACTTGCTACCACAAGAAAATTATGTTCCTCAGGAGGCTGAGGCAGGAGGATAGCTGTGAGTTCAAGGTCAGCCTGAACTGCATAGCGAAACCTTGTCTCAAAAAGACAAAAAAAAGAAAAAGAAAAGAAATTATGTTCCAATAAGTATGAAAAAACATGGGAACATTCTTACATTGAAATGTTAGGAGAAAAAAAGCAGTATAAAACTACATATTATATGTTTGGGTTCTGAAATGTATGTGTATGCAAAACCAAAATTTAAATCTAAATGATGGCTTTCCCCCATCGATGGGTTGTAAGTAATCTTGTTTTCTCCCTTATGTTTTCTCAGATATCCTGAAGTTTTGCTAATAAGGCAAAACTATTGCAATCATTAGAAAATTTAAACAAAAAAATGTAAGGTACTGGAAAAAATCAGTAAAAGAACTTTTAAGAACAGCATTTAGTTTCTCTTAACAGTTAGGTAGTGAATCGGGAAGTATAAATGGGAAATATTTCCAAAACAAAACCCTATTATCCAAGGGTTGCAGAGAGAGGAAGATGATTCATACTGACAGGGAGGTGCCTAAAAGAGAGTGTTTAATAGAACACTTGTGCTAGAATAACTTGGCACACTGAGTCCTACTTTGGATTTATGTCCGCTATATGTAGGCAGTTTTCTGACAATCATTAGGATGTACTGTGGACAGAAATAGAATAGATACAGGACCTGATGTTTCCAAAGAAAAACTGAGGCAAGCTTTGAACCAGCTACAATCTCTGAAGTGGAGAGTTTCAAATGTGCCATGGAAAGCAGCAAAATGAGACTTCTTTTTGCCCATAGCACCAAAAGGCATATTGCTTTGTAGCAGCACATTCCAGGGCAGAGCCTATCAGCAGCACCAAATGAGCTGAGGCAGGCCCACCTTGTGATGGCATCGTCCCAGTCGCCCTGCAGTAGCCAATCTTATAACTCATAACACAAGCCTGGGGCTCAAGATAATGTCCCTTGGCCCCAACACAGTAGAGAACATGCCTTTTCCTGACTTTCTGGAAACGTCAAAGCTGAACTGCAGAGCCTGACCCTGAACAGGCCTTTGGCATTCCCCTGCATACAGAATAGATTAAGGGCTCTTTTTTTTTTCTAATTGGAAACTAACATGGTTCACTTTGTAAACTCTTATCTGGTGCATGCATCCAGCTATCTCCCAGAAATTTCTACTTGATAAAGAAGCCCAGAGCTGATTTCTGCCTTCTGGAATGCTCTTAGTTGCTAGTCATCAACAGAAGTCTCAGCACGGACAGGCACAAAGAAGGTTCTCACTGAGACTCACTCAAAGAAACCACGGAAGGAGAAGTCTGAGGGCTCATTTCAGGATGAAGCTTCAAGGGAAAAGATGCACTTTGAACACAAACAAAAATTATCCATGGATCAGCAGATGCAAGTGGATTCTTCTCCCAGCTACTGCCAGTCCTGTGATCAGGATGAGGCTCCAAGGTGGACAGCTGGCACTCCTGCTGCTGCTCTGTGGCCTGCAGACACCCACGGGGCACGCTGAGGTAGGGTGCAATTGAGGAGCCCTGACCCTTGCTTTGATAGGACGTTCACCTGGTGACAGCTTCCAAATGGTGCAAACCAGTGGTGGTGAACCTATTCATGTTATTTGTTTTTCGTTTAAGACAAAAATGTTAATATATGAGTTGTTTTTTTCTAAACTAAAACTGCAGTCTTCAGGTTTAATTGCAGTGTTGGCACTTTGCAATAAATAAGTGGGTTTGGGGTTGCAGTTTGGACACTTGGTCTCTAAAAGGTTCGCCATCACTGATCACTGACCCAAACCGTAGGTTACTAGGGATCTAATTTCATTCAAACATTTTTTTTTTCCGGTACCAGAGATGGAACTCAGGACCTTGTGTTTGCGATGCAGGCATGGTGCCACTGAGCTAAATCCCCAGCCCATCATTCAAACATTTTGGCAAATAATGTTAGGGAAGGATGTTAACACTTATCAGACAACTACCAAAACTTTAAAATTCTTTATAATTTATCAATTTAGCATTGTGGAAAATAATGGATTATTTTCTTGATTCTTCATAATAATTAGAAATACTCCTTCTGCAAGACATATAATGTAAAATAAAGTCTGTTTGACTTTAAACTGTATCAGATGGACTAACTCCATTTATAAGTATTTTAACTGAAAAGTCTATGTATTGAAAATAAGCTAATGTTAAGACATAACAGTACATATTTGAGATCTAGGAATATTTTAACAAAGTTTTGAAGTTCCCTATAGATTTGACAAAAATGGGATTTTTTGGTTTGGTTTGGTTTGGTTAGGTTTAAATAGATTCTGAGACCTACTTTTAAATGTGCTGTTATGAATTACTGGTCAAGATCATTTAACCAGTCTAAAAAAACTGTGGTTAACACAAAACCAGATGATATGTCACCATAAATCATATATTAAAAGTACCAAATGTATGGTTTTTGAGTTCCAGTCACAATATCTTTCACATTGGAGAGAATCTTGCCTTTTAAGGAGAACCATTTCTTAGAATGGCATCATTTTTATCAAGAAACCCCTATTTGAATTTTCAAATAGTTTTAAATGATGAACTGATGACACCCAGGAAACCTCTAACTTCAGTTTCCCACAGACTAGATGCCAAAATGTAATATTCAATTGGCTTCCCATTTTTTTTCTAAAGTTTGTCTTTTCCCAAGAAAAGGGACTTTCCTAGGCACATTCTTGATCACTGTCCAAACTTTCCTTCCCCCTCTTCCTCTGGACATGGACAAACTACTTTGTTGGTAACACTAGGAAGAATTACTGAGCATGCTGAGTTGGACTCTGCTCTCCTCCTGGGAGTCAGCCTGTGGCAAAGGGAATGAATTCTCTGGTCCTCTATGGCAAGACCTTATCTGGGGTCCATAACTTCTTGCCACTGAGTGAGTGTGCCTGCCTCACCTTGCAATGTGTTCTTGCAAAGTGAGTAACGCCTAGTTACCAGCAGACCTAAAGAGTAATGAAGAGTGATATTCCACCCTTCATCTTTTTCAGAATCTGGGTAGACATGAGCATTGTGATTTACTGGAGTCCCTCTTGGAGAACTAGATACTACTCATCGCTTTAATGCTTTTATCCAATTGAGTTCAAAGATTTAATATGTGTTTTAGTCATTGACGAAAGAGATATTCACAATAACATCCCTGAGAGAATACAAAGTGGTAGTAGAAGAAACAGAATGTATAATTAAACTATAAGGTTATTCATTTTTTCTTCATAGTACACAGCATGCAAAAACACTATGACACAAAAAAGTTTACTTCCTCCCTGGGAACATGAATTTTTTCAGCTTTCAGTTATTTATCAAACTAAATTCAATCTGTAGCACAGGTCACTGATGTAGAAATGATTGTGAGTAAAATGTCGACAAATATTGATTTTGAGAGAAAGACTTGGTTCCACAGAATGTAGAAAATCTGCTACCACATTTACCATCTGATTTGAATAATTAAAATCAAGATTTTTCTTTTCTTACTTATAGGTTACAATTAAAGTCGACTTTGATTTGGCACCAGACTCCTTCGATGATCAATACCAAGGCTGTAGCAAACAGGTTATGGAGGAGCTAAGTCAAGGAGATTATTTCACAGAGGAAATAGATGCCCATAAACATTACTTCAGGGTGTGGCACAAAGCCCACTTAACCTGGCTGAGTCGAGAAAAAGCTCTCCCCAAGAACATGACAGATACACATGCTGTGGCTCTCTTGGTTTACACATCAAATAGCCAGGTGCGCTCCGACTTTGCCACTGCCATGGCCAGTGCTGCCAGGTCTCCACAGCAGTACAAACGTTCATTCCATTTCAAATATCTACACTACTACCTGACCTCAGCAATCCAGCTGCTGAGGACACAACTCAGCACGAAGAGTCACACTCTGTGTTATGAGGTACACCATGGCATGAAGGACATCCACTTTGTAGCCAACGTAGGTGACACTGTTCGATTTGGCCAGTTCATTTCCACCTCCCTCCTAAGAGAAGAGGCACAAAAGTTGGGGAGAAAAACACTATTTACCATATTTAGCTGCCTAGGTGCACCTGTGCAAGACTTCTCCCTCCAGAAGGAAGTCCTGATCCCTCCCTATGAGCTGTTTGAAGTTGTAAATACAAGCTACCACCCAAATGGAAACTGGTTGCAATTGCAGTCGACCGGGAACCTGAGCATATACAACTGCCAGCTGCTAAAAGGTAATTTTGGTCCAATTTGGATCCATTTTTATCAGAATCACAGATCACTACTCTCTTATAAAAGTTATTTTTCCTGTGTGGGCTTGGACGAAGGCAAAAACATGGGAATTGTGCACTGGTAATAGTAGAACTGACAGATTAGAGAAAAAGGAACTTTATTTATTCGTTTCTCATATCTTCTTTTTCTTCAACTAACTCTGGAAAAATTATTTCCTGAAATGGTACTACAGTATTCTATTATCCATGCAGGGTATGTCCCAAAACCTCTGGAAATGAGTTGAAAACACCAATAGTACCAAATCCTACACATGTACTGCATTTTCCTATATATCCATATCCATGATAAAATTTAATTTTTAAACTAGGTACAGTAAGAAATTAATAATAACTATTAATAAAACACGACAATTACAACAAAATACAGTAATAAAAGTTACATGAATATGTGCTCTCTCATCATACCTCAGTGTACTACACTCATCTTTCATGTGTGACTGTGTGAGATGACACAATGCCTTCCTGAGATGAAGTGAAACAAACAGTGGAGACATTGTGTTGCAGCCTTGGGCTACTACGTAAAGGTCATCTGAACACAAGCACTGCAGTGCTATGACAGTTTGTCTGATAGCAAGGATGGCCACAAAGGGTCTGATGGGCAGGGAGCGTGTGGAATGTGGAAGTGCTGAAAAGGGATGATCACATCCCAGGTGCAAGAAAGCAGGATGGTGTGAAATTTCATCATGCTACTTAGAATGATGTGCAATTAAAATATTTTAAATTATTTCTTTCTGGAAAATTCCTCTTAAAATTTTCAGAGTGCTGGGCATGGTGACACACGTATTGCCCAGGAAGGGGAGGCGGGAGGATTGTGAGTTCAAAGCCAATCTGGGCAATTTAGCAAGATCCTGTCTCAAATTTTAAAAAATACAATAAAATAAACTCAGATCATAATTGATTGTGGATCACAAATTTCAGAAGGCAAAACTGTGCATAAGGGGTGGTTACTGTGTTATGTGGGAAACTTTAGACAGAAAAGATAGCACGTAAAATATTGCATCTCTTATCTTCTCTTTCAAACTCACTTTTGCTTTGTTTTGCTTTTTGTCATAGTTGTTACTTGCATAAGGGGTTCTAAAAGTAAAAAAGGAAGTCATATTTATTTATTTATTTTCTGTTTATTAACCATTCTTTTATGTGATAGGAGACCCTAATAATACAGAACGAATAAAGCAAAATCCGTGTCCTGGAAGTAATTTTAGTCTAACAAGACCTGAGAACATGAACAGGTATATAAGCTTGGAAGTTCAAAGTGGTATACCAGATGTCTGGGCAATGAGTCATGGTTGTTCTGTGCAGGAAGCTAGCTATTCATTCTCTCTGGGTAAAATAAAGAAAGCCTTCCAGTAAAGGACCATGTGGGACGTGCAATGGGAATGGAAGTTTTCAGTAAAAGAGAGAAACATCATTTCAAGCAAAGAACACCACACACTAAATCACAGGGGTTTCAAACACCCTTGTCTCTCCAAGAACTCAGAATTTCTGGGTGGCCAGAGTGTAAAATGTATAGGATGTAAGAAGGGGGTAGCAATAGAAAGGGAATAGGGGATTTATACAGGGAGGAGAGTTATATGGGGCCTGATTGTACAAGGCCAGGCAAAAGACTTTTGAACTTCATGCTATTGGTAATAAGATGTCATTAGGTGCCTTTAAATAAAGTTACATCAACTAAACCATATCTTAGAAAGAGCTCTGAGGATTTTGTGAAAAGTGATCTGAACCAGGAGAAATTATAGATATCACAATACAAAAAAAAACCTGTTAAACTCTTTCTTAAAAAGGAAAGGAGCTGATTCCGTTTTATCTTTTTATATTGTCGCTACCTAGTTGTTTCACTGAGGGGCTATTCTAGAGCTTTCCTTATCCAAGAGGAAGAATGTCTTTCTCCAGAAAGGAAATCATTGATATTCATAGTTAACTGCAGTTGAGCTGAATCTACTTTTGAAATATGCCTAAGTCTGTCTCTTTGCCATCATTATTTCTGTTTATAATTCAAGCTGAGCATCTCTCAACATCTTAGGGTCGTAGTGTGGCAAAGATCTTCACACTGGCATCCATTTTGAGGTCTAGGTAACCTACAGATACTTTTATTTCCTTCCTTCTCACCCTGGTAGCATGGCAACCAGACTATTGGAATGAGTATCCTCCCCACAGACCCAGGAGAATAATGTTTGTAGAAGATGAAAAATGAAATAGAATATGAAGAAAATAAAGAAATGTTGGTAAAAAATAAAAACATTCACAGTCAGGTTCTAGGGTACTTTAAAACTAAACCTGCCTATTACTTCATTCTTTCTCATCATGATTTGGAGACATATAACTTTTCCACTAAGATAATGACAGTAGTAAAATACATTCAGTGAAAAAACCATAGATCATTTATGTTAATGAGTGAGTATTAAACTGAGGGAGAGTGGCATTTAATAGAAACTGTGCCTGTGTTCTGCCACTCTACTCAAAAAAAAGCTTCAAGAACCCCTCATCCCCACAAACTAATGACCTGGGCTTTCCAGTGATGAAATAATGCAAATACAACTTTGACTGAGTTTTGAGTTAAGGCTTAGCTGGGATAGCCACATATATTACTGGATTCTGGAAGTTTGGTTGGTCTTGAGTAGATATTTGACATTACAAATCACACTGAGAGAATCAGTATTCTTGTATTTCCTGTAAGCTCTTTGTGAACAGGACCTTGACTATCTTAGTATTTAAGGAGTAAACATGGAATCCAGGCAGTTTGACCCCAGATTGACCCCAGCTGGATTCATATCCAATGTGTACTACATATTACTACATATTAGTTCTTTGTCAAGTTGCTTAAATTCTGTTTCTTCATCTACATGATGCACATCATAGCAGAACCTCATGGGGCTTTTTTAAAAATAAAATAAAATTATAAGCCATCTATATATTTTATAGCACATAATAATAAATAGTAAATTAGGGCTACAGGCACAGAGAGATGTTCAATCGTGTTTGTTGAATGAGTGGGTGAATAATGGTCAATGAATGAAGAATTCTCTTTCACATCTCTGGGTGACCTTGATCTTGGGTCATATGACCATTTAATGCAACTTCCAATGTTTAAAGATCTAAAGAAGAAAAATACTATAGAAAATGTCACCCCTCAACAAGAGTGAGGACCTGTTGTTGCAAAGTGACTGATTTGTAATGTCGTCACTTGCAGTGTAACCATAACTAAAGAAATTCATCAATTAGAAACCTGTGTAGCCTTAGGAAGAGAGCTTCTCAATGGCAGAATGAAATGCCATTGGTATACAATGTGATATTTTCTTTATAAATTAAAGAGAGACATGTCAGAGGCATTACATGATCAGCAGCCAAAGCTGGAATTGACTCATTTTCCCAACCACCACAGCTATGAACCAATCTGGGAGGATGACAGTGGGAGAGGAATAAGCTACAGCTATAGTGGTGCCTTCTTTCCCTTGCCTGGACTCTTGAGAAAGTTTACAGAGAAGTCTGGTTCTTCCTTTCCTTTGATCTTACCTGCCTGACCCTCATCTGCCATTGCATGGTTGCTAGCACAGTCACTTTAAATGAAGACCAAAAAAACTTATATAGTTTTGGATTGGATACAATCAACATCCACTTATCTCTACTGATTTTTTTAAAGAGAGTTTTCAGTCACTGCAGTGCTTTTTTTTTTCTTCAATCGTAAGCTAAGGACCATTTTTAATGATCCTTAAATTATTTCTGTTGCTTAATAAGTAGTATTCTACTTACCCCACACTTCCTGGAGAAGTATTGGACTGATCTATATATGACTGACAGGAGGAGGGAGGTGGTGTGTCTGTCACATCTGAGGGTCCTTCACTTGGAGGGAGTGAGGTCAGGAGACCCCCCAGACCTGGTTTTCGGGATAGTTGCTCTTGGCCTCTTCATTTCTCACACTAACCCCAGCCTAGGGAATTCACACATGCTATTCTGGAGGACTGATAACCAATTCCTCATGAACTCAAGCCCTCTCAGGAGACCTCCCTCTCTCTCTCTCTCTCTCTCTCTTTCCCTCTCTCTCTCTCGCTCTGATCCTCTCTCCCTCCTTTCCTTTGTTCCTAATTAATAAAAGCCACATGCTCTTGTATATTCCAAAAAGTCGCTATAAGCCCAGGGAATCCATTCCTGCTCCCTCTGAAAGACATGAGAATGTGTAAAATTAATGAACCAGGGTGCTATAATTCCCCCAAAGAAGAGAGTACCATAAAGAGCATAGCTTCCCTAGTTTTTTTAATTTATGTTAAAATTGGCCTCCTTGACTTGCAAGCCAAGTCCAAAGAGTTCCAAGGAATCTGTTGCCTTCAGAGAGTCAAGAGGTCGGAATGGTAGCATAACACACTAAGGACAGTACATCTACAGAAAAAGCATTATTTAAGTCATTCTAAACTAGCAGCTTTTCCCCCTGATTCTTCTATCACCCCTCACATGACCTCTGCTGGTTACTATAGAAACATGTCTTCATGCTTATTGAAAAGATTCAAAATACGTTAACAGAATGTTAATTAGCTATTTGCCCTTGAATACTTCTTCTCTCAGCAACATAATCTGTGCCAAAAATCTGCAGCAACATAAATACATTCTCTGTTCTGTATCATTGGATTCACAAAGAAGAGGGATTTATTTGGTAAAATCTTTCACATAATCAAAATTCTTAACATGTTTCTGGAAAAATATAGCCAATTGTTTGTAGTAGCCTCATTTTACATGTAAACTTTTCCAGAAACAAATAGTGATAAGACGGGTACTTACCCATGGCTTAATCTTTCTGTGCTTCGGGTTTTTTTATGTATAAAACAGATATTTTATTAAACCTTCCTTATAACATTCTGGTGAGGAAGAAATGAACTAATGTATGTAAAAGCTCTTAGAACAGCACATAACAGATATATGATAGTACTCAAAACTTTTTAACTACTATTAACCCT